ATTTACATCTACAGTATGTTGTTTATGTAGATCACAAACAGGGTGGGTCCAAGGATAGAGCCTTGTGGTACTTCAGTGAGAACGTTTTTCCATTCATAATGCACTCCATTAATGTTGTCTACGTTATAAAAGCTTATTCACTGGATGTGCCAAATCATAGTGACCCCTTAATTGAAGGCGAAATAAAAATTCGTTTTCTTTGTTAGGGACGACTGGCCACTAGGTGGCGCGCTACACGGAGGCCTGAAAGGGAGACATGCGACCTTGGCGAGTTTTCCTGCAAAATGTTAATGGTGGAAATTTATACAATATTATCTTGATATCAAGCGACGGAATTAAATTTAATGTAAGAAAGGGCAAGATAAATTTCGTAAATAATATGAATTAAAATAAGAAATGATAAAAACGTACACTATTGAAATCAGAGGAGTTGGGTACGATACGATACGAAGTCATTAGTTAAGAGGTGAAAGAAGATTATTAGGAATTGAAGAAAAAGTGGTGAAACTGAAATACAGTAGGAGTAGAAAGAATCTGGGCTCAACCAGATCGCTTCATCTTTCTTATTGGTGTTTTGTCTTTGTTCTGCTCCCTTGGGTCGTCAGACCTTTGTATTAATATTGGTTTATTTATATAATGCTGCTTATTATTATTATTTTTGTTATTGTTGGAGTTAGTGAGCCCGCCCAGGTCCTTGTGTAACTGGGAGGGTAGTCACATTTTTTTTTTTGAGGTGTTAGTTAAGTGTTAGTTGTGTTAGTCTAAAGGTACACTGTATGGAGAGGCCTGCCAGGTTCTTAGTGGAGCTGGTTGGTCACTCTCATCTTTATTCCTCTAGTAATGTTTTATGTAGAAATGTGTATATTGAGGCAGGAGGTGGTTCAATTACTTCTTCCTGGCTGATATAGCTGGGAGGGTAATCACATTATTATTATTAATATTATTAATATATATATATATATATATATATATATATTTTTTTTTTTTTTTTTTTTTTTTTTTTTTTTTTTTAGTGAGCCCGCCCAGGTCCTTGTGTAGCTGGGAGGAGTCACATTTTTTTTTTTTTTTTTTTTTTTTTTTTTTACTAAGATGTTAGTTCAATGTTAAATGTTAAATGTTAAATGTTAAATATTAGTTATGTTAGTCTAAAGGTACACTGTATGGAGAGGCCTACCAGGTTCTTGTGGAGCTGGTAGGTCACTCTCATCTTTTATTCTCTCTATTAATGTTTTATATGTATATTGGGGCAGGAGATGGTTCAATTACTTTCTTCCTGGCTGATTTAAACCAACTGTGTTCTTGGAATCCTTCGTTGTCTATATTATTTATCCAGTTTTGATATGTTTCTGTGTTAAGTTCAGTCACTTTTTTCCAAATATTTACAGCTTTGTTGTGTAATTTATATAAACAATCTTAAGTACATGTGTGACTGCTGCCTCCTTGGTTTCTACAGTCATCTGTAATCTAAACGTCATACCCTTACGTAGCGCATTTGTTTAAAATTTAATATTCCCTTATTAATTACAATATAATAGTTACATTACATACCTGATGTAACTTCAACGACAACTGGTAAGGTGGTCATGAAGACTACCATCCCGGTGGTTCCCCAGCACCACCAGTTGTCACCCACAGGCAACACCGCTGCTGATAGGCTCTTGTTTGAATCATTGAGTTCACGTCACTTCAGTCTCTCGCCTGGCCTTGTGAGGGGAGGGTTGTTGGCACCTGTTTTTCACTGTTCAAATAAGGTAACTTTGTTCCTTTTGTTATGGATCTATTTGTTGTCTTATGTGATGTAGCAGTTTCCCCAAAGTGATATCATCAGTGTCTCCAACGCCATAATGCTCGCCGGTAATACAGAGGCTTTCAGTGGACATCGTCAGGTTTGTGTGTAGGAGGCGACCGAAATTCCACGTGCATACACTAACATGCATTCGCCTTCCCCGTTGCTCACAAGAACAAAGCATGAGTTTCAAGGTCTCGCCAGGTGGTATAAGTTCTGGGCTCGGCCCCATAACTTTGATCATAATTACATCTCCCCTTATCTCGAGATACACTTAAGGTTTGCATGGCATCAAGTAATCAAATAGCCAGAGCGGATCACTACGTAGCAGCAAGTAGTCTAGTTGCCCTGGCTGGACTCGCCTTCTGTACTCGGTAAACATACCTTGTACATCATATCTTTATACCTTACGTAGCAGAAGGTGGTCATCAATTTTCAGAAAGTCCAAAGGATCCCTGAACACACTTTCTCTCCAGAGTACACAGTCATGGGCTAACTATTAATGCTTGAAGTACTGTACGTCTGGCAGCTCTGTCTTGAGACGGGGTGTAAAATCGAGCCAGTGTGACTTTTGCTGTACGATTAGTTGGGTTACCGTACGTAAACTGTTATAATATGAACCTGGGCGTGAAAGCGATAGACAACAGGTTTCCGATGATAATTTTGGAACACGGGTAATTATCATGCAGGCGAATCCTTTGTTTTTATTTCTATATCTATCATTAATATAAATGTACCTAATCTAAGCTAACTTAACCAAAATATCTTGTAGACCGCACTCTATAATAGCACCCAATAATAGTAGCCATTCAGTAAATTCATCGTACGTGTTTACTATTGGTCTGTCTTGTGTATAGACTGCAGGCCTACAGTACAGGTCACGCCGAGGGAAGGAGGGCAGCTGTGTAGGATACCTCGATTATTTCTGATAGCTTTGTTTAGGGTTATTTTGAAACCAATTACTGTCCTCGAGTGCAACTACTTTAGCTGATTGGCTGTTTTATAGATCTACCACCGTCTGTGTGAAGAAGTTGTATTTTTAAATTTTAGCTTTGAATTGTCTGAACACGTTACTGGTTTTAATGTGGCCAGGTAACTTATTCCAATCATTTATAATAATAATAATAATAATAATAATAATAATAATAATAATAATAATAATAATAAACGGTTTATTAAGAGTTGCAGCCGGTGGCTGAAAATATACAGACTTACATTTGATTTAGACATTATGACATAATATGCGTTGAATACATTTACAGGGCTGTACAGTACATAAATCAGGAGTTGTTTATTATTTTAACAATAGATGGGATGGTGCTATTCTTATATCTATCGGTACGGGCTCTTATGGACTGAATTTTGTTGGTGGCGGACTGAGCGAGGTGGGTGGGGGGCTGCCAGTGCAGGAGGTAGCGATGACGAGGGTGGTGCATTAGTTGGCTGCCAAACCTTTCCAGTGCTTGGTGGTGGAGGTCACTGAGGGATGGCATTTCCAGGGTGTAGAGAGGGTTGATGTAGCTGGAGTATTCTGCGCCGAGCATGATTCTGCAGGCCCTTTTCTGTACCTTCTCTACCCGACGTTGTTGGGTGGAGTTGAGAGAAGACGACCAGGCTGGTGACGCATACATTAGTTTGGGGAGAATAAAGGCGTTGTATAAGTGTAAAAAAATTGTACCATCAAAATGTTAAAAAAAAGTGTACCATCAAATTATGTTTACTCCCTCTAGTGCCTTGCCGGTTCATATCCTTAATTCTTACAAAGTTCTTTATTAAATACTCTGGGTACAGTCTGTTGAAAATCCTGTAAGTGCGATTCAGCCTCAATTACTTTATTTTATCCGCTACACTCAGCTTAACATGTCCAGCGATTGTAAGGCTTCTTGACTAATGTGGCCTCTTGTGTCCATTTCAAGACTGAACTTCACCGTGTTGTTTTGAATAATTTATAACATAAATTTTAATTTCCGTGTTAAGGCAGAGTACCATGACGAATAGAGATAGTCCAAGTGAGAAGCAAAGTTTCCTATGTGCGTCAACTAAAAGGCATTTAGCATTTCTAGAGGAGAGGAATTTTAATCTGGCATTACTTATTATGGTTGACTGTAATGTTGTATTGTCATGGTGGAGAAAATTTAATCCCCTTCCGCAGATAGACTTACAGTAGTCGGTCTAATCACACTCTTAAATGATACTGGTGATTTGCGTATCTCTCAGCAATGTGTCGCGAGTTCTTTCCACATACAAGAAAAAGTGAAAGTTAACGAATATATATGTAAATCATTGTTGTTAATGACATATCCTGACAGTAAATACATGAATAAAATTACATGTCTATTTTTTTTTTTACTTTTTTAGAGAACCAGTATGTAATTACTGTTGGGTTTAGAATACTGCAATACAAAAACTGCAGTACAGTATTGTTTGTAGATAAATTTGGTGATTAGACGAATTTGTATCGATTGTTAACACGTAAGCGTCAGTTGAACCTGATTGGCTCTCACCTTATCTGCTGGTAAACAAACTCTCGTGATTATGACAACACCTCTACCGCATGACCGTTTATCAGTAACATCTCAGACATAGGTTTAGGTTAGGTTAGGTTATCTTCTGTACTAACTTCCTTCCTCGGTTACAAGATGAAAATAATTACCCCTTCCACTCCCAGCAATAATGGTACTTAAGAGGTCAATATTCGAAAAGCCTCCCTGTGCATGATGCTGAACCAGTATGTAACAAGTTTATACCCATGTCAATACAGTACTTTATTTCAGTTATGTTTAACAAAAGTGTCATTAAGTTAGAAAATATTTGATATTTATGTTTTAGCAAGTAGGAGTGTACAGATATAGAGCGATAATGCACGCTGAATATTGACGGAGTACCCCCACACGTGATGGACACAAGACACAAGAATTAGTGAGTTACTTACATTATATTCCTTTAATAACTGATGGTACACTGTATTCACCAACAGGACTAAGTTAACCACCATGTCCGTCTTGGAATAACACCTGCCAGAGAGTGTTGTGACGGCACCTCGAGCGAGTTTACAGTACGTGTGCCTTCATAATCTGTTAACAGTAGTGGAAGTGGCTTAGGGTATTCTTATTCTCACAGATGCTGAACAACACCCTGGTTGGCGTGGGTCTGAGTGTGGGTCTGGGTCTGGGTGTGGGCTTGGGTACGTGGTGGGTGTTGCGACGTTTCTCACCACAGCTACCGGTGAAGTGAGTACAATACTGCTAAAGTTTATTGTCTTCACCTTTGTTATATAGCTTCTCCTCCTCCTCCTCCAAATGCTACCTGGGAGTTAGGTTTGGTTAATGTCTGATCAAGGTGTCTTAGGTTATGGATGGATTAGGTTGTTTAAAAGTTAGGTTATTAATGTTAAGTAAGATTGGGTTAGGTTAAGTAAGGTTGGGTTAGGTTAAGTAAGGTTGGGTTAGGTTAAGGTAATTTAATTTTGAGTAGAATTGGGGAAAATTTCTCATGTTTAATTGCCCTCTTTTTTTTTTCCTGTGTACTGTAGGTGGGAGGAGGTGGGTGAGGTGTCTCAAGTTAACATCTACCTTCTGAAGTCAGGTCGTGGTGTGCCTCTGAAGGAAGCCCAAACCACCACCTACGGCCTGGCTCACGACACACACCAAGACAGGTCAGTTCCATAGGTCACTTAACCCCTTCTCGTGGTCACTCAATCAGTCACTCATTCACTCACTCACTGCAGGTCGTTCGTGGTGATGGCAGCAGACGACCAAAGGTTCATATCGGGAAGGCAGGCCGGGAAGCTCCTGTTGGTGTCGTTGGTGGTGGAGGATGACACCGTCACCCTCGAAGCCCCAGGGATGGAGGAGGGGGTCAAGTTTAACCTCCAAGACGTTCAAAACAATAACAAGGTTGTCGACTTTAGGTGAGTTAAATGATTATAATCTGTTAAAAGCGTCCGTGTAATAATAGTAATAATAATAATAATTAATGATTGATTCACAAAGTTATAAGAGCCCAAAGGCTGAAAATATGACTTATTACATCGATTATATTAACACGGGGGAGTGGGCTGTTTAACAAAAGGATTCATTAGAGAAAATCAGGTTATAGATTATTGTTTACAGTGAGAGGTCACGGAGGTCACGTGCGCTGAGGTGTTGAACAGCAAACATGTGGTGCAGTAACTCGCCCGCAGGTGGTGTTATGTGGGACCTCATGTTGTGCAGTAACTCGCCCGCAGGTGGTGTTATGTGGTACCTCATGTGGTGCAGTAACTCGCCCGCAGGTGGTGTTATGTGGGACCTCATGTGGTGCAGTAACTCGCCCGCAGGTGGTGTTATGTGGGACCTCATGTGGTGCAGTAACTCGCCCGCAGGTGGTGTTATGTGGGACCTCATGTGGTGCAGTAACTCGCTCACTAATGTCGCTATGTGGGGCCTCACATAGTTTGGATGGATATATGAGCAATAGGGGTTGGGTGTAAATGGGACTGCCCAGTATGGACCAATAGGCCCGCTGCAGTTTCTTCAATTCTTATGTTCTTATGATGTAGGAACTAATTCACTAGATGGCGTCGTAGCGCCAGGGGCACAACACGTGGCCTGGTGTCACAGGACCTGACTCACTGCTTGTGGTGTAGTGGTACCTGTGGAGGCCTGACCATCGGGGATGGATTGTAACATAACTGTCTGCTGTTGGGTCTTATGGCAAGGCGGTCATCTCTGAATATCCTGGATCTCACTCGTGGGTGTGAAGATTAACTTGGCCAAGACTCTCAGCTGTTACTGTAGTAACCGTTGTAGGCCTCCACACGTGCAACATCTGTGGACGACCCTGCCGGTCCCGTATCGGCCTCTCGAGTCACCTCAGAGCTCAACAACGAAGGTTGGATGATCGTCATAATACTCGATTCCGAGTGACAGTAAGGTAGTAGAAGTGGTGTGTGTGTGTGTTTGCAAACTAAACACTTCAATAACATACTTACAGGTGAAATTCAACAAATGTAAAAAAAAAAAAATATTCTAGGATGTGGAAGCAACCACTGAAGGGAGTGGACTGTGGGGACGAAGTGGGGGAGTGGCTCACCAAGGTGTTGTTCAACGGGGAGACGAAGGTTCGACTCCTGTTCAAAGGGAATGTGATGCAGAGGAGAACAATTCCACCACTGGGCTACAACTTCCCCCAGTACCGATCCACAGACAGAGTGAGTCACACTCGGCACCACATCTGAGTGTTGTAAGAGTATAACTATTTAATTATTAATTTATCTGCTCCATCTCTTAGGCTGTTTACTGCAACTGTTATTATTTTTTGTCTGCAGTTATATTATGCCGACTGTACTGGGTACATGCTGGCGACAGAGTCATCACTGGAGGACCTCAACACTCGCCTCCCATTTCCCATCACTATGAACAACTTCCGCCCCAATATCGTCGTCAAGGGCTCCCCAGCCTATGATGAGGATGACTGGGCTTTCATAAGGATCGGCTCGGCGGTCTTCAGGACACTTAAACCCTGTAACAGGTAAGGTCGACGAGCTACACTTCATACTTAACACATACATGCATTATGATGACCCCCTTAGACCTACCATTTTGGGAATCAAAAGTCGAGGTCCGAACTTTGTAGTGAGGCGCCATCCAAATTTAAGCCGACACCTTGTTCAAGTACAGTTTAGTTCTGAATATTTTATGTATTTCTCTCTCAGGTGTGTCATGACGACGGTGAACCCGCAGACTGGGGAGCGATACCCTAACCAGGAGCCACTACGCACCCTCCGCTCGTGAGTGTCGTAAGCTAAGAGGGACACATTAAAACAGAGCACTGACACCCGCTTCGTACACCACTGAGAAGCCTAATGTTGAAGTGATATATGGTCATGCCAGGGTGAACGAACTATCTACCTGTCATACCTACGCACATGATCTAACGAGTAGCTGAGTTAGAAGTGAAAGTGGGTTCTATACACCTGATGATTGTTGAGTATTAGCAGTGAGGACACGACACACTAAAACAATAAACGTTTGGTACACAGGGAGGAACCATGGTCGGCACCCCACTCAACCATCTCCATTGTAAACTTAAGTAACCATTCTCAACTAAGTAGACTTGGGGGGGTTAACTAGACACGAACCAACGATCTTTAGCATAAAAGGTGAACTCCATAATCTAATCTGCTGTTAAACCTTACACGAAGGAAACTAGAAGGATGGAAAGAGGAATACTTAAGAGTTAATAGGAGAAATATAGACGGAGTGTCAGAGGAGTGAAGAAAGTATAAGATAAAATGGGAGAGAAACAGAGGAAAAGGATAGGTAAGAGGGAGGGAAAAAGACTGTGGATAAGGTTTCAGTACTGTGTTGTGTTTCAGGTATCGCTTGTTGAGTAACCCGCCTGAGTTGGCTAAGTCCTGGTCAACCTCGCCAGTCTTCGGCCTTAGTTTGGTTATTGACACAACTGGACCAATAGCTGTAGGGGATAAAGTCCTGGTGGCCAGACTGTCAACTAACCCACACCTGAAAATCTTCTAGAGTACTCAACCAGTTCCCCTAGAGTACTCAACCAATTCCCCTAGAGTACTTAACCAGCGGGTCTAGAATACTTAACCAAGAGCTTCAAACTTAACAACCAAGAGATTGTTTAAAATTTTCTACTCTACGTGTATTCATAACATAACATAACCTAACCAAACAAACAATTTCGGTGATGATTATAAGTCGATATGTATTCATTAAAATTTAACATAATAAGCTGTAGCCTCACAATCCTATTCAGAACGACATTTTAGTACTTTATTATGTTTTAGAGACCTAGAATGTTGAGAGTGGCTGTAAAACATGGACTAGGTATTACAGTATTACAGTCAAGAGAATAACAGTGACAAGGACGTGTATTGATATATTGGCGGCATCACACGAATTATTTCCGGCAACAGATTAGGGCTCAGGTGATGGTGATTCTTCCATTTATGGCGATCATGATTTACACCGATGAAAGTTGCCAGCACTAACTCTCCTGTGATACCGCCTTCAAGGTTAGGGTGACCGTAAGATCAACCAAACGAAGTAGCTGAGGACGTTTATGTAACAGATGTGTTGTGTTGAAGAACGTATTGAATAGAGAGGTACAGTCCCCTTCACTAGTGCGTTTACAGGGACTCGTCATGTAAACATTCCATAAATCATTACCATTGAGATATTTGTTTTAATATTGTTTTACTCTAATTCCATAGTATGATTACTATTGCGAGTTTCCTTCTGTCGAATGTAAACAAACACAGGGTTACCACACTCTACAAAACCTGACGAACCCTTGTAAACGTTCTAGTGAAGGGGATTGTACTTGCCACTTGTAGATTCCAGGGGTTATATCACTTAACTAGAAATACGAGACCTTCACTATAGTTATTTACGGTTTATTAATGTCCTCTCACCAACCATTCCATTATCTATCATCCCTTAGCCCTCCTATCCTTTATTTATCATTTACTATGTCTACCGTTATCCCATCTTCCAAGTATCTCATTTTACATTTCCTCGCTGGTTTAGCCAATATTCTTACTTTAACATGAGTTTATCTGTTAGTACAACGATAAATATTACAAGGTGTAAGGATCTTGTGTCTAGCTTATTAATGAGGGATCAGTACATAACGCATCATATTTATACCAAGTCTCTCTTGATTACTTAATGATCGCCTCGGCACCAGTATATTCCAAGAAGACTGACGACTATTAACACACGATTAGTTTATTCTCAGACACGTTCGAAAATTTGGAAAGGATTGAAGACGTAAACTAAAATGATAAAGTTCACTACGGTAACCTCCTAACGTGTACTAAAAGTCTCCGTGTGTGTTGATGTCATTTTCGTATGGTATCATATTGTAGCCAGTTGGTGGATTCTGATACCTCCAGTCACTAGCGACAGCCGGTGTTATTAATGTGTTAACCTACTATAGCTTGGTGACCTTTGGATACATTTGCATATTTTTATTTAATCAAATGACTATAGTTTATGGGTCATCATCATCATATTATTATTATTGGGTTCTCTCTGCAATTACATACAATTTATTATTTGCATCTGAAAATTCATGTATATATATAAAAATAATATCAAGTCTAGAAAATAATGGAACTCTAACAAAGGTCAAGTCATGGAATGTGTAGTGTTCACTAAGTGAATATTTATAAAGTAAAGTTCTCGTGTTCTTGTCTTCCCTGTGGTTGTAACCCTTACAACATGTGGATGTTACTGATTTGTAAACCTTGAGATTTTTGTATATATAATATAGAGTTAGTTTATCACCCACACACACACACAAGAGTGAGTCAGGTGTTTCCTCTTCACTCCCCATCCCTCCTTCGCGTCCCTCCCTCTCCTTTACCTCCCTTAAACCCTCTCTCCTTCTTTTTCCAATCCCTCTCTACCACCTCCCTCCCTGGTTGCCCACTCACCCCCTCCCGCCTCCCTCCATTTAAACTATTTCCGTTCTTGGTGTTAGTTGTGGTAGTGGTGGTTGTTGTGGTTGTAAGTGGTGGTGGTGGTGGTGGTGAAGTCACACTCTACTTGAGAACATCTGCCAGTTGGTCATGGCCGGCGAGGAGAATGAGCATAAACCTAACCTAACCTAAAATAGCTTGATACATTGAATAATCTGTGATCTAAGAGTGTGGGAATATATGGCCTTGAAGTATTATTTGGTTATTGTCACTGTGTGGTAGGTATGATCACGACAGACAGACAGAAGGACAGACAGACAACGTAGAAGAGAGATACTGTAATAAATACGTCTTATAAACGTTAAGGAGGCATCGTTACGTTACACATGACGTAAACACTGATTGCTGACGCCCTCCCACGCATCGCTTGTCCCCAACGATGAGTATAACCAGACTGAGACAAAGAAGACTATATTATAAAAGACAGTGTGAGATAAAGATGATAAAGACTATATGAAGAAATATAAATATAACCCTCAAACAGCACGAGAATCGAAATCCAACTGACCACACGAGATACATTGGTCAACAAAGAAAATAAAACGATAATATTCCATTCATGTACGATAACATTGTAAACAGTGTGGTGGCCTTATATACAGTACCAACACAACACATTACTCTTCCAAATCTCAGACGTTTTAATACATTGTTTTTAGCTGTAGAACTTAACAGAGTCTAACAAATCAGTGTATTTATTCGTAAAGGAAACATTCTACAGTATAGTGTCAAGCTATGGTGATAACTTGTGGTGTTAAGGCTTGAAAAGGTGTTATATAATTAAAAATTCATCGATATACAAAGAAAGTTAACTAATATAACTAAAGGGCACTGTATTATGGTGTAGTGTAGTGTCGTAGGTTATTGTGTAGTGTAGTGTGGGTTAGTGTAGAGAAATGAGTTAGGGTGTCGTGTGTATGTGTGTAGCGGAGTGTATTATAGGGTGTTGGGTAGGTAAGGTGTATCCGTAAGTGTATCGTGTAGAGCGGGGGAGTGTTCCCAAGGGTGTGCAGTAGTGGCCGCCCCATCCAAGGTCTGGCCGTCTTGGTCTAACCCACCACCACATCCGCCCTCACGCCGCGCCGCCCACCACCGCAACCACACACTCACGCCCACGACACTCATCCTCCTACACCACGTTATTTACGCACACACACACACACACACACACACATACAGCAGGAAAGGAGAGACAATGTTAAAGAAGGAGAAACAATGTTGGGGAAGGCGAGACACAATGTTGGAGAAGGCGAGACACAATGTTGGAGAAGGCGAGACACAATGTTGGAGAAGGCGAGACACAATGTTGGAGAAGGCGAGAAACATTGTTGGAGAAGGCGAGACACAATGTTGGAGAAGGCGAGACACAATGTTGGGGAAGGAAACAAATTCGAGTACATTAATCCTCACGAGGTAAAAAATGAACGGGAGGAGGTGGCGGGGGAGTGGGAGAGACATTACCTGCCAGGTGTGTCCAGTAGGGGTGACTGACGCATGGGTCTAGTGGAGTGGGGGGGAGGATGTGAGGTCATGGAGGTGAGGTACTGCAGGGGAAGAGGTCGTTGGGGAAGGGAGCATAGGAACGAGCAATAACTGAACGAGGAAAGAAGAAGAAGAAGAAAGAGGAGGAAGAAACGAGCAATAACTGAACGAGGAAAGAAGAATAAGAAGAAAGAGGAGGAAGAAGAAGTAAAAAGAAGAACAAGAAAGAGGAAGAGGAAGGAAAAAGAACAAGAACAAGAAAGAGGAGGAAGAGATCAACATACACAAGGGTTAAATATAAGAGAATTAATAATCAATATAATGCAGACAGTCGCCGTTGAACTGTTTAAAACGTATAAAGTGAAGACCGTTTAACCGTCGCTGTTTCGTTCACAACAGTTATCACAATATTTACAAACCGATTAAGAAGCCGTAACGGAATATCGCTTTTAAATAACGGAATAATGCCTTTCAATCACGGAATAACGCTTTTAATTAACGGAATAACGCTTTTAAATAACGGAGTAATTCTTTCAAATCATAGAATAACGCTTTTAAATAACGGAATAACGCTTTTAGATAACGAAATAACGCCTTTCAATCACGGAATAACGCTTTTAAATAACGGAATACCGCTTTTAAAATCACAAAGACAAACTGCTTTCTAGTCACGCCATTGTTTTTAATTTAATACGAGGATTTTTGTTTTACTTCAGCCCAAAAATTCCAAATTGGATGTTTTTCTTGACAATTATAACAAGGCGGTGAGTGACAGGCGGAGGCTCCCGTCCGTGTATAAACCAATATCTTACTGTCACTTTGTAATGTCCTTACCCGTCTCTCTTGTAGTGTGACCTAACCTAACCTAACCTAACCCAACCAAACCAAACTTCAGATATTCATTTTCGTTTCTTGCCAACTCACCTTTGTGTCTGTAAATTAAGAATCCTGAAAAATTACACTTGACATCTTTGTTTCCGTGAGAACTAACAGCTGATGGCTGACACAGTTACCTAACACTTGGGTGGGTGGGGGGAGGGGCTTACGCAACCTGTGTCGAAGGCTAATAGATAGATAGATAGATAGTTAAACAATTTTGATGAATTTATATATTTACAGGTTAGGTTAGGTTCGGGATAACTGTGAGATGTTGCGTGTGTAGTTAGCAAAATTCTCTGTCTTGCGTGCAGTAGTGTTGCGTGGGGATCTGTTAACAGGACATACAGACAGACTCACGCAATCATTCTCTCACCATCATGTGGGGTTTGAGGGAGGTGGTGGAGGGACTGGCAACACTGATCCACCAAGGAGATAAGTTTCGTGGGTGTTGGTAATACTGATGACTGTTGGTGGAGGGGAGAAGTGAGGGAGGGAGAGGGGAGAGAAATAGAGGGAGGAGGAGGATGGAGGAGGAGAAGAAGGATAGATATAGATAGAGAGAGAGAGAGAGAGAGAGAGGGGGGCACAAACATAGCAAAATAATGTGATTTTTTCATTAATTTCGTTTTCAAAGCGAAATTAATGACTTCTATAAAAAGTGCATTAAAACTACTAAATAAATTAAGTGTTCATATTAGGGGTTCAAAGTGTGTGTGTGTGTGTGTGTGTGTGTGTGTGTGTGCTTAACACCTGAATTTTTGTGTCCTTACTCACAATTCACATCTTTATAACCACATACATACATACACACACACACACACACACACACACACACACACACACACACACACACACACACATCTGTTTACACTATAATCATGAGACTTTGACCTACCTTCCCTTATCTTCCTCTCCCTCTCCCCCACCTCCCTCTCCTCCTCCCACTCAAGCAACAGACACTCATTGGGTATTCCGAGAGCGTCCACCGTCCAAAGGAAAACACTTAAGTGAAGCAGTTTCTTCCAAGACGTTTATAGTCAACAACAGAAGACGTCTACCTCCCATGTTTATCAAGTCTACTTCATATACCTTCTACCTTACTCATTTATCCACCTAACTCAACCTACCATTTTTAACCTAACCTAACCTAACTCAACCTACCATTTTTAACCTAACCTAACCTACCTTAACTAGATACGTTCACTTAGCATCAGTTAAGAGACAAAATTATATTGAGACTCTACCTTAACTAGATACATTCACGTAGCACCAGTTGAGACAAAATTAATATATCAAATCTTTTCTAAGTTACTGTGTTAAAATTGTCTC